CGCAACAATGACTATACATAATTTTTATTAGAAAAAAATCTACAATTAATTCTGACTTTTGGTGTTTTGAAGATAAAAATATGATTAACCTTATGACAATATTAATGAGCATCATTTCCATCATCAATTCTTAGTACAATTTCAAGTGTGACTTTTAATAGAGAGATGAATAGAATTCATGATTCCATTATAGAGCAAATTGTACATTACAGATCAAATCATTAATCATGTAACTATTTAATATTAATGAATGTTTAACTATATATTACATAATTTTTTCCAACATAATAAACTTTACATTTTGTATTCTTATTATTTAACATATTAAAGTTTATATTATTTTAAATTTTTTCATATTTTTTAAACATTTCTAATATATTATATTGTATAACAAAAGTTACAAATTATCAAAATTACTGTTTTTTTTGTTATTATATGTTCAAAAGCACGTTTCAAAAGCACAAGTCATTGTTAATTCAAATAACTTTCAATTTATTAAAATAAATTTTAAAAAATATAGCTAAATACAAATTTTATTATAATAATTGATTTTCACTGAACTGACTTTGTCAAATAAATTTGACAAATTGAGAACTAAACACACACTAGAACAAAAGGAAGAAATGAGTGTACATGTGTAAAAAAAAAAAAAACTCTATGTTCAAATCTCACACACATATGTGTACATATATCACTTTCTTTTATTGTTTACAAGTATAAAAAGTAATCTTATTTGAGACATAATCAGGTATTAATGTGAGCACCTCTCTCAGTAGAGATTTAAATATTAATTTATCATGTCATGAGAGACTAATATGAAGTAAAACTATTATAACTGCATTCACAAAACGACTTGAGACTTCTAGTTAAAAAAAAAAAAATCTCTCTCTTCTTAGTTGAAACAAGCATTTGGGTGAGAATATATCTTTTTGGCATTTTGAATGCATGATTGTATTACAATTTAATTTTATTAATTAATAATTTAATTACTTGAATATTACTAAATTTCCATTTTTTTGGGTGCATGTTGACATAGAAAATTAATAAATATGAAATAATAAATTGAGGGGACGAAATGGCGGATCCTCTTTTCCTATTACCATTTAGTGGAGAAATTTGGTCACTGCAAAGTGGAAGCTGCATTGTCAAGCAAATTCCCAAAAAAATTATAAAAAGGTCTTTATTCCATTTTTAATTTTTTTTTTCGTGAAACTTGCAAAAGAGTACCCCAAATAAATATTTTGTATTAAAATATTTTATACATTGAAATATACAAAGATTTAAATTATAAGACTAGGACCATCAGAGTTTCTAGATTTTTTTTTATAATGTTTTCCTTTAACATTTAAAAATAGTACAACATTATTATGTTTATTTTGATGGCTAATTGAGCAAAAAATTACATAAAAAGATCAAAAAAATTAATTATTTTTTATATCATTGTCTGTAATTTTTAGTCTCTGTAATTTTTTTATTTTTTCTATAATTTTTGTTGTCTTTTGTAATTTTCTTGTCAATGAGGTCAAAGTTAATTTTTATTAAAGATATTGATGGTATTACACTATTTTTAAAAATTGAAGTGATGAAATTACACCTTTTTTTGGACTTATAATTTAAGAATGAAATTATCCTTTTATCCTTAAAAAAATTATAAGTGTTAAAGGACATTTTTGCCTTTCTAAAGTATCTGGTATCATAGATTTTCATGTGATATAATTTTCTACTTTAACATTTAAAATAGTTTATTGAACCCTTTGATGTCAAGAAAAAAGGTTAACTTTAATATTCAGTTGACATAAAATTTACCAAAAAAACCAAAAATACATAAAAGAACAAAAAAAAATTACATAAGTATCTTATAAAAAATTAATATTAATTAAATTCTCTAATTACACATAAATAATAAGATACATATGTTATTTCTTACCCACATGTAAAACATTAAAATATGATTTTTAACAATTATTATTTTAGGGATTTAATCAATATTATTGATGGATTTTATAGGTTTATATGATGCTTATATGCAATTTTATAGGTCTTTTTTTATTTTAAGTCCTTTTTATTTTTGAAATTTTTGGTCCACTAACATCAAAGTTAACTTTTTTAATGGTTGGGTGCTTAGTATATTAGTTTCAAGTATTGAAGAAAAAAATTGCACCACATATAAATTTATGATATAAGGCATTTTTAATTTAATAGTTGAAGAGTAAAAATATCTTTAATCTTAGATTAAATGTATAGCCTCCAGCTCAATCAAAGTTTATGGTTACCTACACAATGCATTACATATGAAACATGAATAGAGTTGGGTGATTTTTATATTATATATTAATAGTTCAAAATTTTATATCCCTATATCTTTAAATTAAATTTTAAATTTTAAAACCATTTTCTTTCAATGAAACTTTTTCAGAGAATTTCAAATAAGAACAAAGGATATGACTTAATTAATAGTGGGTTTAAAAAAATTCTAAAATTTCATATCATTCTAGCGGTATAAAAGTAAAAATAATTTCAACTATAAAAAAAGCAGAGTGCCTTTTACTTGTTCTGTAGAATTATTAGTTATTAATTTTTTACTTTATTTGTTAATTTACCAATATCACTTATAAATTACATTTGTTAACATTAGTTGTTAATTCGCTTAACTTTACTTATTAATTTACTAACATCAGTTGTAAATTACAATACTTGTTAATAATTTATAATTAATATTAATAAATTACAAGACTTATTATTAATTTATAATTAATATTAATAAATTAATAAGTAAAGTTAATAATTTAATAATTATTGTTGCTGCTTATAATTGAAGAATTGATGTCAAATTTTTATATAACAAACAAAGGATACTTTAATCTTCGCACAGTTAAAATTATTTTTCCTTTTATTCCTTTAGACTGAACTAAAATTTTACAATTTTTAAACTTTACTAATAATTAAATCACATCTTTAATCTTTATTTAAAATTTCGTTGCCAAAATTTTTCTCATTTTCCCTCCCCCACCCAAGCACCACCCACCCTACCCTACTCAACAAGGCATATCTTTATCGTGTTAGCTAATTTTTAAATTACATTGCTTTATACTATATTAAAATTTTTATAGAATCAACATGTTAAAGTATAATTTATTTTACATTGAAGTATATTTTAAATTTAATTTCAATTTAAAAATTCACATGTATTAGAAACAAACTTAAATATGTCTATATCCAATACTTTGTCATGCGACTTATGAGTAGAAGCATCCCTAAAAGATTGAATATATACTTGAACGATTTTATATTTTTAATTAAATTCTTTTCCCCTTCACTGTCCCAAGAATGATGCTAATATAATGTTGATATTTTATGATGTTGTGTTAATTTAAGACACAACATAACATGACTATGTTCCAATTTCATAGTTGAAATTTAAAATTAAGAAATGTTTTTAATTTGTAAAGATATGACATATAAATCATAACCTCAAAATATTAAAAAAAACCTAAAAAGTACGGATAATAAGTATACCACCTTTAAAAAATAAATTTAAAATGTTTAAAACAATTATATCTATTATCAATTCATTAATAAGGTAAATAATGTGACTCATTCATATTGAGATAATATAATTTTTAGTTCCTAATTTTTTAACTCAGTTCTTGTAAAATTTATTGAATTAAGAAATTATAAAGGCTGAGTTATACCTAGTCAAAAAATTACAAGTACTTAATTATTTCAAGTTAGGAAATTATAGGAGTTTGGATTTTTACAAATCAAAATTTAGAAACTAAATTAATAGTTAAAAAAATTTGAAGATTAAAAATTATATTTTCTCTTTTCTATTCCATGAAGTAACGATGGTAAACTTACGAAGGGTCTTGCCTCATATTTTACAATAGTGTCCAATTAAATTTTGATATACTAAATATGAAGATTTTATTGATGGATACTTCTTCTTTGACTTGTAAGACCTGTCTAATAAACACATCTAGATAAGATACACTTAACAAACATGGCCTTGCCTCATATTTTGCAAGGGTCTTGATTTACATCCTTTCATATATGAAGGTGGGAAAAAAAATCATATTATAAATGTGAAGATGTTATTAATTAGTAGTTAGTTATTTCTCTGATCTTATATAGAAGTCAAAAACACTTACATCTATCTCATACATTAAAAAATTAAGATAAAAAAATACTTCTTTAGTTTTCTAACTTTAAATTAAATTAAATTTATTAATTTTATGAATATCCAACAATGTTAGGGTTAGATTTAGAAAAAAAAAATACTACCCTTTATTAATGGTACTAAATTGTAATTTTCAAATATATTTTATTATAAACATTGATTTCAACAAAAGAAAAAAATTAAAATTTCAAACATTATCTGCAAATTTAAAGATATTAAATTTATTCTCCACAAAGTAGGACAATGGAAAGGGCATCTTCTAATAAAAATTAGTTCAATTATTAAAGATTTGATTCATAAATAATACTTCCTCCATCAAAAAATATAAAGTATTTTTTAAAAAAGTTGAGTGTTTAAGAATGTAAAACATTTTTAATTTTTTAAGGTGTGATTATTATTTTTTTTTAAAGTATCCCTAGGAATGATTTTATATTTATTATAGAATATTTAATAAAGATAAATATAAAAAAATAGAATTAGTTTGAAAATAAATAACTATTTTATTGAGAGATAAAATTTAATTTAAAATATTTTATCTTTTTAAAAGAAAAGAATAAGATTATAAATTAAATTTTATTGTTAATGTAAAAATTTTATTAATGAGTAATATATGTCTGTAAATATTTATTGAGTTTAGAAACATGCTTTTGGTGTAGGTGAATTTGTTAACCCAACCCGTTCAAATCTTTCTTTTAATTTAATAAGAAAATTTGATTTTCACAAATTTATTTATAAATCGCGTTTCGCTTATGATGATTGTGGCTTTTTGCATGAGTGAGAACCAAGTCAGAACTTTAACTGAGAAAGGGGTGACATCTAAACAAACCCTTACATCATCGTCGTCATCATATAGTTCCTCTCTGTTCATTTTCATGCTTCCATCTCCCTTTCTCACCTACTGCCCCATTCTCTCTGTCTCTCTCCTTTCTTTGGCATCATCATCATTGTGCTTCTCCTATGCCCCATTTATATATTCCTTCTCTTCCCTTTTCCCCTCTCGTTCCCAGCCTCTCTGTTCTGATTCTGCCCAGAAATTTGAGAAACTTGCCTTCCATGGTTGATCCTTGACAAACTCGGTATTTCTGAACTGTTTGCTCACCATACTAGGTACCTTCTGGTTAGAATGGATTCCTTCGGTCAGAATCGTCATCAGACCACCAACTTCAGGTACAATCCCAACGCCGGCACGGTGAGCCACGGTGGCGATGACGACGGGGATGGATTTTCCGGTATTCTCGAAATCTACGTCCATCATGCGAGGAATATTCACAACATATGCATCTATGAGAACCAGGACGTGTACGCGAAATTCTCTCTCACGTACAACCCAGATGAAACTCTCTCGACGAGGATCGTCAATGGAGGCGGGAAAAACCCGACGTTCGACGAGAATCTGAGGATGGAAATTGCCCAGAGCGATGCCGTTTTGAAATGCGAGATTTGGATGTTCAGTAGAGTGAGGAACTACATGGAGGATCAGCTTCTGGGTTTCACTTTGGTCCCAATTTCTCAGGTTTTGGGAAAAGGGAAGGTCACTCAAGAGTATAGCCTTTCTTCAACCGATCTCTTTCATTCTCCTGCTGGAACTGTTAAATTGACTCTCTGTTTGAATCTGAACCCATCTCTGCAAATTAATTCATCTGTTAACAAATCTGTATCGGAATCATCAGTTAATTCTAATACCAATTGTTCATCCATATCTTCAGAAGTTGTCTTGCTTGATAGAAAGATCTCAGAGGTTATGTTAGACCCAGTTGAGTTTTCTAGAATTGAGTTTCCTGATATTAGTGTTGTGAGAGAGAATCAGCAAATGGTATCTGAGTACTTCAATTTGACATCTCATGGTTCTTCTTCTGTTTCTGCTTCTGCTTCAAGGCCTAATTCTGGTGGACTTTTGCCATTTCTTCGCCTTTCTGCACCTCCTCAAGTTGATGACTGTGAAATGACTGTGAATTCTCCAGATGGGAATCATGGAGATTCCATTTCTCCCAATGGCAGCATCCAGAATTCTGGGTTCTTCAGCTCTACCACCACAACCTTAAGTGATGATAGAAACTCTGCAGATTCTTCAATTGACAAGAAGGGTCATCATCATCTTGGTGGTGAGTCATCAAACTCTGCTAATATTGCAATCTCTAGTGAAGCTAATAATAATCAGAATTCTGGTTCTTCTTGTGGTCCTGACACTCCGACTTCCAAGAAAGAAAGTGAAGCCAGAGATCATGAGAAAGAGGGAAAGTTCTCAGCCACAAAGGAAAAAAATGATCAGAGCAATAGTAACAAAGATAGGAACATGGACATGGAGGCTGCTGCAAAATTTGGTCAAGTTTTCTCAGCTCCATTAGGGAACATCAATCTTGAAGCTGAGCAATCTGCCATGCAACAACAGATAGTTGACATGTACATGAGGAGCATGCAGCAATTCACTGAGTCTCTTGCGAAGATGAAGCTCCCAATGGATCTCAATACACCAGACAGAGAAGATTGTGGTGATGTGATTCAAAATCATAGCAGCAACAGCAGCAGCAAGTTAGAAATTGACAAGAAAAATGATCGGTCTCGCGTGTTTTATGGAAGTCGTGCATTCTTCTGATAATCACCTTCTTGATGCTGGCAAAACTAGAAGAAGATCAGCTTAATTTGATGCATGTTTAGTGCACGGAAAAATGTTTATTATTTCCTTTCTGGAAAATACTATTTTACCTACTAAATATTGTGATGGTGTAACTTTTCTGATATATTTATTATTATTCTGCTGAAACTTTCTTAAGAAGGCTCTTATGTTGGTGACTATATATAATCTTGTAGCTCGGATGGTTTTTTTTTTCCTTACTTACCGTTTGACTTGACTGTAAATGGGTTCGCTACTTCTCTGTCTCTGTATTACTTTATCTTGATCTGAAGTGCTTTTGAAGAGATGTTCATTTCTATGGATTCTTTTGTGATTGCTTCAGTCATAATCTTTCTGCAGAATTGAATTGCAAGGAAAGTTTCTGGTCTGATGTCATGTAGAGGTGGCTAAAGTCGTAGCTATAGATTTCATACTTATGCTTCAAGCTGACTATAATTGCAATGCATATTGTCTTTTATTATCATTACTTTGACTACACACACACACACACACACACACACACACACACACACACGCACATTCTTCTTCTTCTTATTTTTCTAGCAGTTGAATTACTCTGAACTCATTAAACTATTGATCACAGGTAAACAAGTCTTGGGCCATTAAAATTTGATAAGTACTCCTATATATAAAGAAAAAATAAAATGACAAGCAACTATTCTTAAATTCCCCTAAATTTAAGGGTGATATGCCATTAAGGATGATTTTTTTTTTAAAAAAAAAAAACTTTATGCAAAAAGATTCCTCTAAATTTTAAATCAAATGTAGATAATTCTTAAAGTTTTCAAGTTATCTACAGATAATCCAAATTCAAGGAAGTTTAAAGTAATTTAACTTTTTTTTAAAAAGGACGACCATGAGTATTTTCCACTCGTATTATTATTCCCTAACATTTGCATGTTAAATAGTCTTTCTAACAGTTTAAAATGTGTTTTTTTTAAAAGAAAAAAATTTAAACTATCAGATAAATTTGATCGCTGGTAAGATTATGCATTTTAATTCAGTCCTTATCCAAAGATGGACAATAATTCATATAAACTAAAGTAACTTTATTTGATATATAAAATAAAGTAACTTTTGGTTTGACGTATCCTCTAAACAATCTGCTCTAACCTGTGTCACTCTGTAATTTGTTTTAGATTATTAGCTCCATGTCAAGTCTACATATACCTTTTTATTACAAAGTCTCAATTGTTTTTCTGAAACTTCCATTGGCCTGGACTTATTTGAGGACAGTTGGAAGGATTTGAATTTATATATATAATGTTTGTAATGATTGATATTCCTTCTTAGAGCATTATCTTGTTGGAACCATTAGCAAAATCTGCATAATGGGTGGCCATCTCTTTGCAAACTTTATTTCCCACTCACGTTTTTTTTCAAAAATTTCCTATAAGTTTTTAACATAAAATTTCTGAACCAAGGATAAAATAATTGGCCCCTTATAATTTTTTTTAGAGAGAATTATGTATAAATCTCCCTTAATACAATTAATTACTCTCAAAATTCATTAACAATTGAGTTTAGAATGACAAAACAAATAATTATATAGCCAATAATTGTGTTCGTCCCTTTTAATTTCCTTTCACATCTTTATAAAGCCAATACTTATTTACATTTCAATAAACAGATTCAAATGTTAATCCTTTTTGGTGGATAAATGTTGTTTGGCTTCTGAAAGTTATATGAAATCTTGGCTAATTTGAATAGAATTGGAATAGAAATATTGATGCGAAACCCTTTTGATCATACTTCTCTTCATGTATATGATTTGAACTCGATCATTTTTAAGATAATCGAGCTTGATATCACTTCATTAAATAGTTGTGATATTGATCAAGAGATCGGTGATATGTGTGTGAAGTGATGTTGTTTTATGAATTAAAGGGGTCCCCATGTCATGATCAAAGATTGAAACTTTTGATTACATTGGAATTGCGGTGGGAATGGTGGGGGCAGATTGAAGCCATTTTTGTCAACACAAGGTGCACCACATTCTTGAGATAGTAGGCAATTGTACTTCAATCACACAACAAAGAAATGTAGGATTGGGAATCCAATGCCCATGTGAACAAAAAAAGGAAAAGATACATACATACATACATACATACATACATACATATATATATATATATCCATATGAAATAAAGAAAAATCACGATATATTATGTTTTTACTTTTGTTTGAATGATGTATATGTATATATATATATATGGTTCTTTTTAAATATTACTCATTCTATTTGAATAAATATTTATTTTTTATCAACAAAAAATTTAGTTAAATTCGGTCCTTGAATTTATCTAAGTCAGAATATATCTTCAAACGTATAGATTGTACATCAACAAAGTTTTTACATCAATGGTAAAATTCAATCCCATAACCTTGTAATTTATGGATCAAATTTTTATCAACTAGATTGACTTTTGTTGGGTTAAAATAAATATTTACAAATGTATGTTTATAAAATTATTTATTAATGTTAAATAATTAAAATACAATATATTATTGCCTTTTATTAACATAATAGTCACAATGTAATATGGGATTAGTATGAGACAGCAATAACAATAAATAAATAAAATTTATTTTTATCAGTATCCGACACATGTATAGTTATTTACATACAAGAAGTTTCAAACTATATTAAAATGTTATATTTCTTTTCACATTACAATGTTCGTAGTGTATATATTATTATTGTCTCATATTAATGCACTGTTTTGCAGTGTAATTTCGTTATTTTTCCATGACTACATTGAAAGTTTTTTAATGACAATTTTGAGATTAAACACAATATTAAACAATTAAAGAAAAAATTATTTACATGCAATCACATCAAACATCAACGATTGTAATAATAGTGAAAATCTATATGTTGGGGGAAGCAAAATTAGTGCTGTAAATGTTAACTGAACAATGAAATTATGTCTGTGTGAAAGAGAAACATTGAATGACAAAAGTTACACTTTCACTTTCTTAAAGATCAAGCAAACCCATTTTGATTCATTTGGGTATGTCCAACCGACTTTATGGAATTTCTAATGTTGACTAATGTTTTCCTACTTTCTTCACGCTTTAATTAATTGCATGCATGTTTTTTAATTATTATTTTCAACATTCAAATAATGACCTTTTCCTACCTACATTGTTGTATTATATTGAGCAGATTAATTTTAGATTTTTTTTAAAAACTAATCATTTGATTCTCATAGTTTAACATAATAAAACTTAATCCTTAAACTTTTATTTGATATAATTTAATTTTTATAATTTTAATTCTTACAACTCAATTCTTATAATTTTATTTTTTTTATTATTATTTTCTTCCAGGTTCAAATTTGTGTTATTGAGCAAATTTGTTTTCAATTTTTTAGAAGGAATTAATCATTTAATTCACATAGTTTGATTTAGTTAACGCTTAACTCTTGAACTTTAACTCAAAATTTTAGAACACAATTTTTATAATTTTATCTATTTAAATGTTGCTCCTTATATCTGAAAAAATAAAATTATAAATAATAAAGTTATTATTAAATCTTACAAACTTAATGCTTTACTAAATGGCTTAAATTAATTTGTAATTTTTTAGGTTATTTTCTATAATTTCTTATAGGGGCAGAGCCAAAAAATTTTGTTAGGGGGGCTGAAATGACAAAACATATATGATAATTAAAAAATTAAATTTATAGATATCACTAACATAACATAAATATTTTAACTTATATATTTATATTCAATTTCACACAAACACAAAATAAAAATAAATAAATAAATAAATATATATATATATATATATATCTTCATTTTTTTAAGTATCGCTCATAAAATATTTATGAGCAATACAAACTATCATGAATAATTAATTATCATGTTTAAGATAAAATTTTTAAAATTTTTCTCAATATAAACTATCACTAAATTGGAGAATATTTTATCTTTCCTGTAAGAATTGAAGAATTTAAATATATCTTTAGGATCTAAAGCTCTGTTTAATATAAAAAAACTCTATCACTTACTTGTTGAATTTACTATTGAATTATTTCAATTGACATGTTCTTCATTCAATATATCTTAGGATTTTTGTTTTAGTGTTTTATAAAGTTTATTAGTAATAATTCTTACAATTTCTTTTATCAAATATAAAATGAAAGCAAAATCAAATAAAATTGCTTTAAGAACAATTGTAATGTTATTTGATTAAAAATAAGTAGATTTTATAACAACTATATTTTCAAGCTATTGTAATAGTTGAATTATATATGTGTAAAAGATTAATATAAAATTAAAATAAAAATTTTATCTAGTATTTTAAGACTTTAATGTGCCAATTTAAGGGATCAAAAATATATAATCCCTATATTTTATTAAAAAGAAATTAAAAAGTTAGAAATAATCGTGGCCCCTGCTAGTGTCCTCTATCTCCACCCCTGATTTCTTAGTTAGTTAACTATTAAAGTTAACTTTTACTGAAGATGAGGTGTGATATTATACTGTTTTTTAATAGTTAAAGGAGAATATTACAAGAAAAATGAGTTTAAAGTTTCAATACTCCTAAACTTATATGTTAGATACCAAATCTCATTTAACTAACCCTAGTATGAATATAAATTTTCTGTCTGAACAGGTTCACTTTTGTGTTTTGAATAGCACTTTAAAAAAGACAGTGGTTATAGTTGTGTGATAAGATCAAAATACTGCAAAAATGTCATTTTCATTTTACTGAGAATTTTAACTTCTTTTTAAATTTTTGATATTAGGAAAAGAGATGCATGGCTGGGGTAGTGTTTTTTATTTTTTTTCCTTACTGTATATTCAAATGGGCTAGGAGTTATATTGGGCCTTCAAGATGAATTTTCTTGAAGGCTGTTTTGGAATGAAGAATGATAAGATTAACCCCATAACGCGTTATTGCATAGGAAAGGAAATATATTTTTTATATTAAATATAATACGTAATATATTAATTTTAATGAAATTACATACGATTTTTGTATTTTATAAAAAAATATTTGATTATAATTTTTAATCCTTTTAAAATAAAATAGTTTGTTGAGGGCCTAATTTTTTTTCCTAAAAATGAATACCAAAATATATATTCCCTCTGGTAAAAAATGTAAGGTATTTTTTAAGAAATTAAATGTTAAAAAATATAAGGTATTTTTAATCTTTTAAGGTGTAATCACTGTTTTTTTTTCAAAAGTACCCCTATTGATAATGACTTTATATTTATTGTAGAATGTTTAATAGGGATTAATATTGAAAGATAGGGTTAGTTGAAAAATAGGTAACTATTT